AAATTAAAATTTGAGACATGGACGTGGAAAGGCACATGAGGCATCCAGCACTCAAGAAAAAGGACTGGGTTGGACAGACAGGTTGGGAGTCATTAGGATATAGATGGAGGTTAAAGCTATGGATGTGAGTGAGATTGTCCAGGAGGAGTATACAGAGAATAGGAGATGGAAAAGGTTGGGAAGGGACAGGAAGGAGCAGAGAAGGGAAGAGGGCTAAGGACAAAGCCCTGTGAGCACCAGCATAGCAGAGATAGGCAGGGGGAAAGGAACCTATGAGGGAGACAAAGAAGGAACACTCAAAGAGGTCAGAAGAAAACCATAAGTGTGTAATCACTCAGAAGCCAGAAAAAAAGAAAGTTATTCAGGAAGAAAGTCCATAGTGTTTAAAGATGCAGAGTTCAAATAAGGTAAAAGCTAAGAAGCAGCCATGGATTTTATAAACTCAGAGGACGTTGGTAACCTCAACAACAGCAGGTTCAGTGGAGAAATGGAGGTTCAGCTGAGCCTGGAATAAGATGTTGGTTTCCAGAATCGATCCAGGTAGGAGAAACTGAAATGAAAATGTGGGACCTCTGGTTCAAAAATTATCAAGAATTTCAAGATGGCAAGAGTGGAGCATTAAACGAAGCCTAGGACCCCTCTGAGCATGATACTTTGTATGTCTGCACAGGTTGCATGCCCATGAAGCCAACCCTGGATCCAAGGTGAGGGTTTTGTCAGACAGGATGGATGAATGGACAAGATAAAAGTATAGCTCATGTAATGCTCCCAGTGAGACAAGGGAGATAGGGAAATGGAAATAATGTAAAGAGAAGATGAGCATAAAAGAACATTTTACACATAAGTGAAATAAATGCAAGCAATAAAATACAGCAGGCAGCACATTTATTTACTTATTTATTTGCAATAAAACAGTTACCTCAGGCTTTTAACTTCAATGATTATATTTCTATATTTATCAAATTTAATTGAAGTTCTATATTTGCACATAGACCTTCTAAGGGAATTTTGATCTACAACTTTTTTGAAGGGAGTTCGAGTTTTAAATGAGAAGGAAAACTTCTCTCAACTTGTCTCCTTTTTGCATTGTGTTTTGTCTGCTAGGTTAGGCAGGCTCACAGGCAAATGATTTCAATGTAAAATGTTGTGTGCTATGCAAAAGGTTTAAGTGCATGATTTGGTGGTGACTGAGGACAGAGCATCTTCTCTACTGCATAGTGCTCAGATGCAAGAAACAACATGGTGCTTTCACTGTATCATAAAGAGTTGGGTCTCACAAAGTGCTGGGAACATGGGGCCCTAGAGCAGGGGTCCTCAAACTTTTTAAACAGGGAGCCAGTTCACTGTCCCTCAGACCGTTGGAGGGCCAGACTATAGTTTAAAAAAAAACTATGAACAAATTCCTATGCACACTGCACATATCTTATTTTGAAGTAAAAAAACAAATGGGCAAAAACACCCACATGTGGCCCGCGGGCTGTAGTTTGAGGACGCCTGCCCTAGAGGAAGAAAGACTTCAATTGCTTAAGAAGTGGGAGCCACCAAAAGGTTTTTAAAGATGATGGGATGCTACAATCAGACTGGAATTGTAGAAATACCACTCTGTATAGAAAGAGTCAGATTGGATAAGGCACAAAAATCAGGAAAATGCTGCTTTAGCACTTCTATTTAAATACTCTTAACTGTATAATTAGTCTACACTTACCTGAAAGCCCCTCCTTAGAGACATAGATTATTATAAACACATGTTAATTTGCTTTTTTGTAATTTTGCTAGAATTAGCTTTTCAAATCTGCAATACATATTATGACCTTAGCAAAGCTTGTCTTAAGTGTAAATACAAAAATGGCTTTGTGGTTTGAATTATTTGCAGTAACAAATGCTTCTTATCATTGCTATAACAAATCACCACAAACTTAATGGCTTAGAATACAGCAAACTTATTATCTACAAATCTTGAGGCCAGAAGTCCAACACAGGTCACACTGGGCTAAAATCAACATGTTGTCAGGGATGCATTGCTTCTGGAGGGTTGTTAGGGGGTTCAAAGGATTAAGGGGCTCATCAAAGGAAAAGATATGACCATGGGGGCAGTAATGCACAACAGGCTATATTGGGTGGTACTTGGACTGGGTTGCATGAGGAGGAGGCCCCTTACAGTATGAGATGATCCAGAGGCTTGGGGGCAGCCATCCAGAGGGGGACAGAGGAATAAAAGGGGAGCTCACTCGTCTAGGTGACGCTGTGCAGCAGCACAGCGGGTGGCGGGGAGTCTTTGGATCAGAGAGCTCCAAAGGGCAGCAGTGGCTTGGAGCCTTATAACCACAAGGCTCTAGCTTATCAATGGTCAGCAGATGCTAGGCATATTTTCATCGGCTATGCAAAGCAGTCAGGCTCTACATGGATAAAATTCTGCTTGTTTGGGCTATTTTTAAAATAATTGTATAAAATTTGAGTTTGGTGCTGGCAGGCTTTTGAGTTAACAGGTCTCAACCGTAGAGAAGATACAAACAACCTAGGGGCCAATACACAGAGGCCAACTTTGTCTCATTTATATAACAGTGCTCTAGGGGAGATTCTGATTTCTTGACTTTTCCAACTTCTAGATGCCACCAACATTCCTTGGCTCATGGTGCCCTTTCTCCATCTTCAAAGCCACAACATTGCATCTCTCTGACCTCTTCCATGGTCATGTCTGACCACAGCTGAGAAAGGTTCTCCATTTTTAAGAGCCATGTGATTAAATTGGGCCCACCTGAACAAACCAGGGCCCTCTCCCCATCTCTGGTTTCTTAATCACATCTGCAAACCCCCTTTGCCTTATAAAGTAACATATTCACAGTTTCTAGGGATTAGGACATGGGCATCTTTGGAAGTCATTACCTTCCCTACCACAAACAGCAATGGTTTTCTGTGACTCTGAGAGTATTTCTTGGTCACTATAGCATGTTCTATGCACATTCAGGGCAGGCCAGAAGTGTCAGGAGGTGAATGCTCCAGGAGTGGCCCTCAACCAATGAGAGCTAGAGGTTAGTGGCCAAATACCCAGTTTCCTCACCCACCCAAGTCTGAGTTTTTCAGAGGTTTGCACCCCATGTGCCAACAACAATGATCACCCACTGATCATTCACACACCCTTTCTTGACTTTCCTCCTTTCCCTGTCCCACTTCCCCATTTCCTTACCACACTTCCCATATTGCCTCCCATATAAACCTCTTGCGTGCAACTCGTCTCAGGGTTGCTTTGGAAAAAACAAAAGCAAATTAAGGTGCAATGCCTCCTGGGCCAAGAGCCTGATGACAATCACAGTCCATTGAACCTCATCTTCTTCCTCCTTGCCAAATATCAAACATAGTAAGTGTGGAAACAGAGAGCTAAGAATCTAGAAGCAAAAAGTGGCATCCCTGAGGGCAGAAGGATGGTTTTTCCAAATGACAGATGAATAACTACATTCTATCTATTGTACCTTACAGTTGGCATTGCTAAAATATTTCTGTGCTACTGGGTTTCTCAAGCAACAGTTTTCATAATACAATTTTATTGCTTTATGTCCCTAAAATCATGCCTGTGCCTTCAGCTCTACTACTATTGAATAAAGGCTATTGTAGTAGAAATCTTACACTTTCTCCTTTTACTATCTAGCTTTTAATTGGTGTAAGATTCTTCGTGGTGACTTGAGCTGTAGTTATTTCAACAAAACTGGACTCATGAAAAGATCAAACTGAATGACGGAGATGTCTGGTGCTTCTCTGACATTACACCAGAGAGACATAAGTTTGTCTAATCACAGTACTAATTTGTCTTCTATCGATGCGATTCTTGTTTGTAACAAACTCATTTGGAGACAAAACGCTTAAGTGAAGCAGAAATTATTTCCCAGCTGACTGATGAAGTATCATCAAGTGTAACCATTTAGAAAATAAATGATTCTGGCTCCATGCAGGAGTGGATATAAGGAAATGGCCCCTGTCTTCTTAGTTTTCACTCTAAGCTGCTGTACAACCCTAGAATTCATTTCTTCAATAAATATCTTTTGAATGTATGCTTTGTACAGAATTTTGCATTGGATAAGGGCTGGTGAGGATATGAAAACTGCTTGAAGCCTGTTTTCACACAATTTTAAAGATCAATAAGAGGAAAAAAATTTCTAATATAGTGTACAAATTTCTAATATAGTGTAGAAAATGTTCACAACCATAACAGAGTTATAGTTGGAGCTGTGGCAATTTCTAGGAAGAGACAGCACAGACTACTTCAGCTCTCATGGAGGGGAGATTCTCAGGAAGGAAGCAGCATTTGTAAAGTTTGTTTTGTCTTGGAATGTTAACTGTAAATTTTTCTAAACTCTTGTTATGAGTAATAAAATAAAGATTAAATAATTGGGTAATGAAAACTATACTCTTCAAACTACACTCTTCAATGCTCACCAGAAGGGCCTCACTGATTTATGTCAGATGAATGTGGAGAGCCTCCCACACAGAGACGGTCAAGATGAAAGTGAAAGTCAGTGACATGGAAGCCTCCTTTGATCTAAGGCAGTAATTCTTAACCAGGGTCTATTTTCTCCCTGCCCCTGGGGACATTTGGCAATATCTGGAGGCATTTTTGGTTCTCACAACTTAGGGTTGGGGACTGTATGTGCTCCTGGCCACTAGTGGGTAGAGGCCAGGGATGCTGCTAAACATCCCACAGTGCACAGAATGGTGCCCGCAGCAAAGAATCATCTGACCCAAATGTCAATAGTGCCAAGATTAAAAAACTCTAAGGTTGAGGGGGAGGAGAGAGACACGCTGGAACCTCCACCTCTGCTGCTACTCCAGCGCTGGCCGCCAGCCCGCTTCCAGGGAATCTGAGGGAGGCCTACGCCCCGTCGCTGCCACCACGGTGGCACTGGCCTGGCTCACAGACATCGCTACCGCCACTGCGTTGTCTGCGACCAGCCTCGAGGGCCACCGTCCTCCCCCAGCTCCTCTGGGCCGGGCAGTGGTCTGAGCCAGTGGAGGCCAGGCGCCCCAGGTGGCTGGAGGGAGCGTCTGCTGTCTGAGAACGGGAATTCTCTTCACCAGGATATGGAGACTGTTCAATCACCAAGAGCACAAAGTTAACATTATTGGGCTGGCTAATGCAGGGAAAACTACTATACTTTACCAATTTTCTATGAATGAAGTTGTGCATACATCCCCTACAATAGGAAGTAATGTAGAAGAAATAGTGATTAATAATACACGTTTCCTAATGTGGGATATTGGTGGCCAAGAATGTCTTCATTCTTCCTGGAACACTTACTATACTAACACGGAGTTTGTGATAGTTGTTGTGGACAGTATAGACAGAGAGAGGATTTCTGTAACTAGAGAAGAACTCTATAAAATGTTAGCACATGAGGACCTAAGGAAAGCTGAATTGCTCATTTTTGTTAATAAACAAGATGTTAAAGAATCTATGACTGTAGCAGAAATCTCCCAGTTTTTGAAACTAACTTCTATCAAAGATCACCAGTGGCATATCCAGGCATGCTGTGCTCTTACTGGGGAAGGACTGTGCCAAGGACTTGAATGGATGATGTCACGACTTAAAATTAGATGATCTCTACTGACCTCTTCTCATAGACTTTGTATAAATGAAGTGAAAGCTGCAAAAATTAATGGTTTAGATATATTTATAACAAACTGATTTAAACTTTTTCTATAAGAAGAAAAATTAAGACCACTTATTTGAAATCAAAGATGAAGTGTCACCTTCCAATTTGCTTCTCATTAGTTCCTTCCAAAGTAAGTTATTAAAGCTGTGATTGACATTTTTCTCATAATGAATCCTCTCAGGACATTGTGTAGCCAGTGGTAAGTAAAAGGGAGAGGAAGACATTTTGAACTTCAAGAGCTTTATTATCAATATAACCCTCCCTAGTTGAATGTTCTCTTTTTGTTCCATTAAGTCAAAATACAAATCAGCACAGATATTCAGTTTCCAATATTTTAAAATGTAATGCTACTTATGAAAAGTATTTTGTATAAGGTTATGTATGTATTGTGTATATACCTCACATTCAAGTTAATGGCTTTGATTTATGTTCTAAAGGAAAGCAAATAATACGAAATTAATAATATCCTTAGTTATAACCATAACGAGATAAGTACTGGCATTGGTGTTAAGTGCCATTTTGTACTCTTCTGTTATGTTCTCTGTATTTTATTAACCAATCCCCAAAATCATTGAGCTGCTCTTTAACAAAAAAAAGGAAAAGGAAAAAACTTGACATTGTATACCTGTTTTTTTGTTGTTGATCAATCACACACATGGAAATATAATTCAAGTGAATGGAGTATCTTATCAAATTCTTGACTTAGTATTACTAATGGGCAGAATTACACAATGAGCAATTATCAGATTATTCCTTTTATTGGTCCTTATGACATCTAAATTACTGAATAAGTTATTAATCAGTTAATCATAAATTGTGATTAAAATGATTAAATGAATTCTAAGCATTAATCAAAACTGTGTAAAATATGTCTACCTAGAGATGTAACACTCTACAAATATCAGTAAATAATTTAGCTATTAATTTAAGCATTAAATTATATGTCAAGTAGTCAAAGTGAACTTGAGAGTAAAAGGTATATTTTCCGAGCAACATTGATAATTTCTTAATTTGCAAATTTTGTATTGCTTATTTTAGGGCTTGGGATAGTTTGAGATTTTTTGTTTCTATTCTTGTATCTTCTTCTACCACATAAATACATTGTTTGACAATTATAGAATGCAAATATTTTTAAATGCTTTTAAGAATTTGATATAAAAATTGATTAGTATTATTTGTACTAAGAAGTAACTTGACCCAAAATACCGTTTATGTTTGCTTAGGGTATTTTTTTTCGATATCTGAAAGTCAAAGGTATTTCTGTCACAACTGTAAACAACTTTATCCTAAATGTGTTAAAACATATTCTTGGGTACTCTATCTGTATATCTTTGATGCCCTGAAAGTCTAAAGGCTAATCCAAACTGGCATATTTTAGAATATTTAAGAAAAAAGGGACCCTACTTTTTATACCAGCCTTTTAAATTCCATGAAGATTCTGGTGAGGAATAATGACAAAATTTTGAAAGTTCCCTTCTATAAAATATAAAATACTCAGTGTCAATCCATGGGAGATCAGTATTTAACATTGGATGTTTTATATTTTATATTTATATTGTTCAAAATGCAAACATAATATTTAATATTTGTCAACATGCTTTTTACAAAAGTAAATCCTATATTGCTAACAAAAAAAAAAAAAACAACTCTAAGGGACAGAGAAATGCTATGCACAAAGAGGACTGGAGTTTTGAGAAAACCTGCTTATTAATAAAGATGTTATTCTTGTTGAGAGTAATTAATTGGAGCTAATACAACCCAAAAGACAATACAGCCAGAAAAGCCTTTTAATTAGGAATTTTCTTCTTTTGTAATTGAGCTATTTTACTTTATATAAAGTTCTTTTATTTACACTAGATAGCAAATAAGGGATCCAAAATATGATTTTTGCACCAGTAATGAACAGGGGCATGAATTTTGTTGGGTGTATGATTTAATTGCTTTTCAAGAAGTTGACGTGGGTGTAAAAATTAGGAGGTTAAACTATTGAATGTTCTCACTTCATTTCACTGTATCTGCTGCTGCTGGGTTTTTCCAAGAGCAACAGAAATCACACCAGAAATGAGCTCTGGTATTTTATAGAAACAAGGTAACCTACTAGAGCAGGGTTCTCAATCCTGGCTACACATTAGAAACACTTGGGAGCTTCTTAAAATTTAAATGGCCAGACCTCACTTCAGACCATAAAATAAGAATCTTTGGATGTAGAGGCCAGATATCTTGGGTTTTTAAGGTTTCCCAGGTGATCCCAATGTGCAGCCAAGTTTGAGAATTGCTCTAAAGCCTCACTTCTTAAAATGTCATCAGTTGACCAGCAGCATCAGCATCACCTGGAACTTGATAGAAATGCAGCCTCTCAGGCCCCCCTCGGCCCTGCAGAATCAGAATGTGCATCATAACAGGATTCCCAATAGAGTCACAAGCGCATTAAAGCTTGAGAAGTGTTGTTCCAGGACATATTACCAATAGTCTTTTTTTTAAATGTATGCATATTACTATATGCATAGTCTAAAACAAGCACACTATTAAGACATGGAAAAATGCTCCAAAGCTTTAAATAAAATTTTTAAGTTGGGAAGAAATATTAAGTTTGTTACTATGGCTGCATGTGTTTTTCACTAAATTTGATTTATTTTTCACTGTGAAAGATTTCAGCATATATAATAATCCTATGTTGCTTGTTGTTTTGTTTCTCTTAAGAAGAGTAAGCACTAGCTATGCAGTAGCCTAGAATTATCATGCGGGTGTGCTGGGAATCAAATGAAACCAGATGAAACATCTTTTTCCTGTAACTCTGAGAAGGTTCCCTTTTAGTGCTGTGTTCACATACACAAGCAGGAAACAATATGAAATGTCATGCAGCAGAATCCATGCCAGAGTGAGGAGCTTCACCTTTGTTAACAAGATTAAACTGTGCATGCATGTATTGTAGTAAAACAATCATTCTAAATAGCCATACAACTTTATTCTGGAAAGCACAAAATGCTTTAAATTATGGCAGTTTGGCAGTGATATCTCCATAGGGAGTTTATAAGGTTTGCTGAATGTTGTACAGCCAGTTCCTGGCTGCCAGACCTCAGATGCTTTAATTCAGCATAAAATCATCAAATGCTCTTTCACACTTCCTGTCTTTTAGGACAGATTGATGAAAAAAAAAGAAAAAAACCTTACAAAAATCTTTGTCATAAAGCCAGCCTTCTTCATCCCAGCCAAGTACACTGTGAACATGTTTCATTATAGCACTCTTTTCTGTAATAACTTTGCCACTAAATTCCTGTCCTCTTAAAAATATATATACCTTTTCTCTTCAAGACATGCAAATAAAAATATGAAAGAGAAGCATGGCATAGAGACATAAGCTTAGGGCCAGCAGTGCAGCTGGCTGAATCCAAATCCAGGCTGGTACTGTTTTTGCCGGGCAATTTCAACCCATGGTCTATCTAGCCATTCTGAGTCTTAGCTTATTCATCTGTAGAAAGGATCTAATAAAGCCCTTTCTCATGGGGTTGCTGTTAGGAGTAAGCAAGATTATGCATGTGAAAAAATGGTGCCTTGCACACAGCCAATACTCATTAAATATTTTCTTTCTCTTCCCTTCACTTGTTTTATTAAACCATCAGGAAAATATCATCAGAAATTTTCTAAGCAGCAAAGGCTGTTATACATCTTTCAATCTGCAATGCTTGTCATGGTGTCTGATACACACTAGGTGTTTGAGAAATGTTTGCTGAGTTAATTTTGAGTTTCTTCTCAGGACTCATAGCTCAGGGATCTTACAGTGGAAAACCACCCAGCACTAAGTCATCAGAAGCCATGCCATTTCTTATGTGGGACACTTTAAACATGGATAGCTATGTCTGCTTAAGAATCCAGCCCACGGGCATCTGATTTCTAGCCCAACACACAAATTTGTGGGAAAAGGAATGGACTGCTACTTGCAATCATATAATTGAGTTATTCATGTAAACTTGTCTTCTCACGCTCATGGGAAATGTCATCTGACTCTAATTTAAATTATCCTATATATTAGTTTGATTAATTTAATTGCTCATTGTTTAGTGCATAGGAGACTCACAACTCACAAATGGATTATGTTAAAATCAAACATAATAAATGCAAGCATTTAAAAGAGAATAGAAAAAAGTCATGGCTAAGGCTTAACGGAAAGTGGCAGAAATCAGGAGGGAAGAGAACCTCATAGAGGGAGCTGGAATTTGAGCTGAGGATGGAAGGGTGAATTGTAATTCATCAGGCAAACAAAAGTCAAAAAGAATCACTGGACAGAAAGAATAGCACATGGAAAGGCATGGAGACATGAAAAAGTTTGGGCCATTGAGGGAACAGAGAGTGGCTAATGTATAGGATATGTAATGAGGAATGATGGAAAATGAAACTAGAACAATCCATTAGGGTCTAATTATAAAAGGCCTTGTAATTTGTGCCAATAGGCTCTGCATTTTTATTCTAGAGGCAAGCAACTCAGGGTAAAATTTTATCCTGGAGGCAGTTAATGGATAAGCAAAAAAATGAATTCAGAAACTTTGAATACTAGATTTTATTTCTTGTAACAGAGGGTTTTGTCTCCTGAGAAATTTTTGAAGACATAGAACCATTTACTACTGTACTAGCTTCTTACTAAAATCCATTATTAGGACTCTTCCATGCAAGTGGACACCTCTCTTTTAGATTTCTCCATGACTAACACATTTCTGTCATCTGGTAGCTGCACAGTAAATTTTGATGAATGAATAGTGACAGCAAAGAAAACAATTGGGGCCATTTAAGCAGTACTTTTCAAACTGGGGTGTGATTGAGTTGGGGGTCATGAAGTCAGTTCAATAGCTTACCCCAGAATTTTTGAAAAAAAGTAAAAATTAGGACAAAGAACAGAAAATATCAGAACGCGTCCTGCTTTGGAAAAATAATTACTACTTTGTGAAACTTTTGTTTCCATTAGATATATTAATGTGTTAGAAGTATATGTATATATGTGTCCTGGTTGGTAATGGAAAATATTACCTACTTTGGGTAATAGCAAAAAAAGTTTGTGTGTGTCTATGTGTGTATTATGTATGCATCCTTAGATTGTTTTATCTTTTTGCAGCTTTACTGAGGTATAGTTGACAGTTAGAAATCATATAAATTTATGTATTCAACTTGATTTGATATGTATACATTGTGAAATAACCGCCACAATCAAACTAATTAACATATCCATAACTTAACATAGTGACTTCTTTCTTTAGTGAGAACACTTAAGATCTACCCTCTTGGAAAATTTCAAGTATACAACACAGTATTATTAACTATAGGCACATTG